ATTTTCCTTGTGACTCCAGAGAAAATCAGAATCCCTCTGTCCCCCACCTTGTCTGCAAATGAGCGTGAGAAAACCTTTTCAGTGTTGGTGGGAGGGTTAGAGGGGACAGTGTGGCAGAGGGTGGACACAGAGGCCTCACCTGCCTCCGCCCAGGACCTGGCCGCGGGCTCAGGGCCCTGCCGTCTCACAGCCCCTCAGCCAAGGGCCCCTCCCACTGTCCCTCCTCCCAAGTCCAGCCCTCAGGGCCAGTTCCTTAAGGAAGCGGCCACTCTCCGTGTTCCCTTCCCTGGCCTTGCTGCCTCCACCCATCGCATTCACCCCAGTGAGCTCACTTCTGCTAGGGGCCTGCTTGGAGCGCTCCTCTCCTGGACACTGGATACTGCCAAGGGGCCCCCTTTCCCGGGCTGTTCCCCTCTGTGTCCCCCATGGGTTCCGTCCTTTGTAGTCACTTACTCTGTGGTGCAGGGACATCTCCGGCCTCTGAACATTTCTCCGTGTGGACCCTGAAGCCAGCCAGGAAGCTGGCAGGGTGGGTATGGGCACGAGGGAGGAGACTCAGGACACAGAGACCAGGGCAGAGGATCCACCCTGCCGGGGGGCGGAAGGAGCAATCCCCTTCCCACAGCAGGTCTCTGGAGGAGCGAGAGGGACCCAGGGGACCCACGGTCTTCTCAGCGTCAGAAGGTCCAGACTGAGCTCAGGGGTACAGAGCTATCCCAGGCCCCCAGGGACTCTGATCCAGGGGTCCCAGGCCCCCCAAGAAGAGCTACCACACTGGCCTGAGGAGCAGGGCTGGGCTGCAGTGAGGATGGAGACTCTGCAGGCTGACCTGACTCCTCTCACTGCGATCCTCTGACCTCAAACCCTCTCTCCAGGTGTTATGGAGGCCTCAGATGATAAAAAGAAGAAAACCTTTGAAGAACGTGAGTTGCAGACTGGGCATGCTTTCAGACTTGGCCTTAGTCCCATGACCCCACACACGCTGCATCCTAACGGGGGCCCTAGGGGGCGCGGCCCCTCCGCATGGGGAGACCGGGCCTCCCTGCTGCTTCCTCCTCCCCTGCTTTTCAGGAGCAGGACCCTTGAAGACACAGCAAAAAGCAAGCTTTCCCCCTTGAACAGTGGTGTGTGTGTGCGTGTGTGCATGTGTTTGTGTGAGAGAGAGAATGTTGTGTGTCTGTGTCTCTCTGTCTCTGGGGAGACTAACTCTTGGTGAGTGAACCCTTCTTTTTTATCTTTCCAGTTAGGCTTCAGAGAATGTCATTAGGTAAGTGTTTTTTTCTGAGCCAGAGAGTGGCATTGACTCCCCCGCTCCTCCCCGCCCCGCCCCAGCCCCCTCACCCTCTAGGAAGACAACTCTAAGTCCCACCCCTCATGTGCCTGCCCCAGGCTCCTTCCCCAGGCGCTGGGACCTGGTCCCCTGGGCAGGGCGAGAGCAGCTGGGGCAGGAAGGCAGAGAAACTGGGCATCTTTGAGCTGATTCTTGGGTGGGGTGTCCCCTTCCTTTCTAGCACTTCCCATGGCTGACCTGATCTTGGAAGGTGAGTGTCTGCTGACTGGGGGAGAGGACCACCCTCCCCACCCCCACCCTCAGGAAATCAGAGAGGAAAATGGGTGCAGGGCGCCTCAAGAACTTGCCAAAGATTTGCCACAAGATTACAGAGAAAACCAGAAACGCTCCTCACCATCTTATGAATGAAACAGCTGCTAGGCCTGCTGCCCAGAGTGGGCATTCGGACAGTCTGGCAGAGGGACTGACACAGCGCTCACAGCCCAGCTCTCCTGCCTCCCCCCTGAGCTGACCACGGCTCAGAGCCCTGCCAGGTCACAGCTCCTCACCCTCACCCCTCCTCCTGCCACCCACTTTCCCTCAGGGCCAGTTTCTTTCTTTTTTTAAAGATTTTATTTATTGATGCGTACGGAACTGGGCTACAGGCCAGAGTTGCAGGGGCAGTGAGAGGCTTCACCAGAGACAGAGCGGGGAGCAGAACAGGCGGATGGAGGAAGTACACTGCTGAGGGGAGCAGCGGGCGGGTCAGGAGAGGTCTGCCACGCCATGTGGTCACCTCCGGGGCAGGCGGGAACCGAACTCATGCAGAAGTGGCTTTAGATTCTCAGTGCTGCGCTTTAACCCGCTGCGCCACCAGGGAGGCCAAGGGCCAGTTCCTTAAGGAAGCGGCCACTCTCCGTGTCCCCCTCCCTGGCCTCGCCGCCTCCACCTCTGCATTCACCCCAGTGAGCTCACTTCTGGGAGGGGCCTGCTTGGAGCGCCTCTCCCGGACACTGGACACTGACCGGGGCTTCCTTCCCGGGCTGCTGCCCTCTGTCCCCTCGCCCTTTGTAACCACTCACAGAAACTTCAGTTGGGGTGAGTGTGACGGATGGGTACAGATTCCCAGATCGTCTCAGCCTGAGACCCAGAAGGTCCGGAGTGAGATCAGGTTTCCTGAGTTGTCGCAAGCACCCTGACACTCTGATCAAGGGGTCCCCAGGCCCTCTGAGAAGAGCTGCCACACTGGCTTGCAGCAGCTGCTGGGGGTGGGATGACACCAGCAGGCTGCTGTGGCTCTGCTGACCTGGTTCTCCCCTGTCAGGCGTTATGAACTACCCGGCTGAAAAGCAGAAAATGCTTCAAGGTGAGTTTCAGACCGGACTTATTCTCTGACTTGAATTAGCCACGGGAGCCCTGACATAATTAGGGGCTACCAGAGCACCAGGGGCTCAGCCTGGCACAGTGGTCACCAGGCACCTCCCCAAGCCGGTGTGTCGCCAGAGGACCCTTGAAAACACACACAACCCCAGCTTTACCCTTGCGTGTTGGGGTGTGGTACGCCTGTGCTGTCTCTCTCGGGGAGACTAACTCTTGGTGAGTGAGCCCTTCTGTTTTCTTTCCAGAGTCTTGTAGGAGACAGATAGGTAAGTGGTTGTTGCTAAGCCAGGACAGGGGGACTGGTCCCCATCCCCTCAGCAGTCAACTCTGGACACTGAACCCCAAATCCTTGCTGGGGCTCCTTCCCAGGTGCTGGGGCCTGGTGCCCTGGGCACAGGCCAGAGCAGCGGGAAGGGTGGGGAAGCTGGGGTGGAGGCTAGAGAAATGGAGCATTTTTGAACTAATTCTTGGGCTGGGAATTTAATTTCTCTTCCAGAAATGCGGTGTGGAGCGATCGGTCACATCCTCCCGATAGGTGAGTGTGCTGGGCTGGGAGGGAAACTTCCTGTCGGTCAGCTGAGCCCGCAGCTCCCCCAGCCTTGCCCACCGCTGCCCAGGGCCTGGCCCAGCATTCTGCCCAGTGGGGCCCTGGGGGCTGAGGACGTGGAGGGGCCTGAGGGGCAGCAGGTGCGGGTGTGGTGGGAGGCGCAGACCCACCATGGGGTCTCAGAGTAAATTTGAGGATGAGGAGAGACATGATCTCTGGTGATTCTCTTTCCAGGAAGACTAGAGGAACCCTCAGGGCAAGGTGAGTGTTTACAAGAGGGAACCCGAGGCTTCTGGGTGGTGACTGACAGGCGGACACCCCCAGCCCCCCGCACTGGGCAGCGAGTCTCCAGCGTGGTCACCGTCACACCCCTCCATGTCCTCCCTCCTGCTGCCTCCACCTTCTGCCCGGCCGCATCACTGACGCTGTGTCGGAAACAGGAGTCGACCTGAGCCCAGGGACTTGGGGTTCAGCGTGTCCCCAGAGACAGAAATGCCCCTCTTTGGAGCTTCCACTCACGTGACCTCCCCCTCAGCCGTCTCTGTGGCCCCTCAGAGCCCTGGGGAAGGTTAACCCCTCCCAGACCCAGGAGATACAGACACATGTGAGGTTTGTAGGGCCCAAGGGTGCCGGGACCTCTGTAGGGGCTCAGCACACACGACCCCGTGCCTGTCACCCCAACCTCAGCCTGAGGTGGAGGCCGAGTCCAGCCCAGCGACGATCACACCTCTGCAGCTCCAGGCTGGAGTCCTCGTTATTCCAGAAAGATCCCATTGAGGAGACCCTGCACATTTCTTTAAGATTCTTTAAGAATCTCCATCTCTGCCCCTCACTTCAGCTGCCTCCTCCTCTCTCTAGCCCGCTTTGACACCTCCACCCCCCGTGTTCAAGCACATTTCCCACTGGATGCTTTTCACCTGCAGCTTGAAGGACAGATGAGTTTGCGCACGTGATGGGGGGTGATTATCCAGGCACGTTCTGCCTAAGGCTTGTTCCTATTTCCTGGGTGGCAGATTTCAAGTGCCTGGAACAAGAGGTTTTCATGAACACGGAGGAAGTGGCTTTGCTCTCAAGGAACACTCGGGGTGTCATGTCCGCTAGTCTTCAAGCTCTGCTGGGGGACCGACGGGCCCTGCAGCACCTCATGGACACGGTGAGGGGCCCCACAGCTGGCCTGGGCTGGTCAAGCCTGCAAATGGTGTGTGTTTGGGTGACAGCACTGCCCAGACATCGGGAGGGTGGGCTGATGAAGGCAATCAGGGGGCCGGGTTTTGCTGCCCACGCAGTGGCTCTTGGTGAGAAAGACATTAGCCCAACGCGGTTTATAACGTGCGGACCCTAACTTATAGGCAACTTTCCCTGACACTGTCGTCATCCTCCTCTTCATCCTCGCCTTCTGCAGCTCGACGAGGAGAAGCCCTTGGATGATCTGACTGGCCCTGCAGCTGCCATCCTCACTGAGCTCAGAGGGGGCCTGGGACACCCACCTGCTGCCGCCATGGGCCCCATCCTTTACCTGTTTGAAGCCATACTGGGTGAGAGTAACTTGAGGGGGTGTGGGGAGCCTCAGGGTGGTCCCCAGAACTTTGTAAAGGAATTTGCTGGCTGCCACCTCTCCAAGCACTTCGATGCATCTGGTTCTCATCTGCTCATCACCTCTCACTCCGGCCCGTGAGGCAACCTGCCACATGTGTCAGAGCCTGGCGCCCACAGACGAGGCCATGTGCACCACCCACTCATTGGGGTGGGGGCTCCAGCCCGAGCCCCAGAATCCCCTCCTCTGGGCAGTGCCCTGTGGCTGCCTGGAGGCCACCCCAGAGCAGGAAGATGGGAGGGCGGGGTCTGCATTTTAAGGCTCATAGGTTTTATGCTTCTACCTGGAGTTCCCTATCATAGGGTTTCTTAGTTCCCTAGGTTGGGGGTATTTGACTCCTCCTCACTCTTTTCCCCATCACCGCTGTTCCCAGTGCTGAGTGACGTACAACACGCTCTGCTGGCCCAGTCCATGGACAGGAGGATCCTGCCCCACCAGCGGGAGCTGGTGAGAATCCCCAAGGCCCAGGGGCTGGGGGAGGGAGGCACAGAGAAGAGTGAATCAGAGGAAGGAGAGCTGATGCTGGTTTCTGCGGGAGGAGGCACCCCATCCCAGGGTGGGCCCTGGACAACCCACTCATGTCCTCTGGAGCACAGGCCCGGTGGGTGTAAGGGTCTCAGTGTCCATGGAAACTCCTGAAGTGGCCCAGCGTTCTAAAATATTCAAACAGGGTTACAGATTTGGGGAGCTCAGGGGTTCTGAGGAATAACCCCACTTTACTCACATAGTTGCCTTCCTGTCTCCGTGCACGTATGTGTGGGGCCATAGGAGCCGCATCACACGTCCACACATGTACACACGCCTACGACCCCGAGTGCCACCGTCCCATAGGTCACTGTCAGCCTCGCCATTTAGCAACTCAGGAAGCAGCGACCAACAGATTGCTGCACTGTGTCCAGGAGAACAGGGAGCAGAAGGCATGACCAGGATGCAATCCCGGCCTGGTGACTCCAGAACAGTCTTTGCTCCATCACCCCTGTAGGGGACAGAAGGTGGCCTCTTCCCTACCAGAAGCCTGACCTGTAACATCTGATGCCGTTTCTAGGTACGGAGCATCCTGGAGCCCAACTTCAAATACCCCTGGTGCATTCCCTTCCGCCTGGACCCCCAGCTCCTCGCCCCCCTGCAGGGTGAGGGTGTGGCCATCACCTATGGGCTCCTGCAGGAGTGTGGGCTGAGCATGGAGCCGGATGACCCCAGGTCCACCTGGGACCTGGACGCCAAGGAGCCCCTGTCTGCCCTGTTTGCGACCCTGACTATCCTACACCGGCTGACAGCGGCCTGAGCCCCACTGGGGAGCAGAAAACCTGGGAGTCCTGCCCCAACCGTCTGCGCTGTGATGTCCTGTGGACTTGGGGTGCTTAGGACCCTGCATTTTTTACTTTAATGGTGGGAGCAACAGGGACTTGAGGGAAAATTCTGGGGTGGTGGAAAATCTCTCTGTGTTGCTAAGGATTCATTATCAGGCAAACCACACATAATATGCTTAAGAGTGGAGCACTGCATTGTAATAAAGCTTGCCTTTAAACAATGGAAACACATGATGAAGGGGTCAATGTGCCTTGTGGATTGCTTTGAGTGAATTGTGCTGATGTCTACAATTTACTTCAGCACTCACCGAGAAAATATCTCTTGATGGTAGGAAGAGACATGTGATCCAGGAAATGGGGAAATGTTAATGATTTGGGAATAGCATTTAGGGTAGATGAGAATTCCTTTTGTTCTTGAAGCATTTTATAAGCCACAACCTGCTTCATATAAAAACTTACCTTTACATTTTGTTAAATAATACGTGTACATACAAAGTAATGAGATGAGTAGGTATGGGTGGATATGTGGATACACATATACACAGGTAAATTCTTGTCTATGACTTCATGTAAACCGTATACAAAGACACAGATACATACTATAAATGTATCTGTACATTACCTGTGTGTATGTATATGTATACACACCGGTAATGGTGATATATATAAAAGTGTGTAGCATTAAACACTTCAAATTTCAAATTTCTTCTTAAGCAACAGGAGTCAATTCCCTTCCGCTCCCTAGAAGCTTCTATTGGCCCCTTCTGTGTGATCACTGGGCTCTTGGTCTATTTGTCTCCCCAGCTGAGCTGACACCTGGGAGTCCTTCTGGACTCTTCCCTGTCCTTAGCCCACCTGCTCCTCAGGTGAACCAGCCACCTCATCCCTCCTCACCTAGATGGGGGCGGCGGCCCTGAGAACGGGGTCCCCTCTGCCAGTCTCCTCTCCAGGATCCCCTCAGATCCTGGGGTCTGGAATCCCAGCGGCCAGGGGGACTCACTGACAGGCAGCCCTGCCCAGCCCCTCGGACCCCCACTAGGTCGCCCCAGGTCCTCCCCTCCCCATGGGCACTGCCTGTCCTCACTGTTAGTGTGATTCACTCTCACTGGGAAAGGTGAGGAGTCAGTGCTGCTCCCAGCTGCCTCTTCTCCCTTCTGTTTACCACGACTCTGATATCTGTAATTCGCCCAGGCCGGTAACCATGTTCCCCACGTGGTTACTGCCCCTTTTGAGGGGGCCCGTGCTCGCCCCCAGTCATTGCATTATTGCATCCTGATGGCTGAATTCCGCCGCCTTTGTCTCGGAGGCCTCAATCCCTGAGTGCCTTCTCACTGGAGAATCACTGCCTCTTGCCTTTCCCAGTGATGCCTCCGGAGGGTGAAGGGCTAACCCGGGCCCCGAGGATGTTGGATGGCTGATCTGACGGGACCCACTCGGGATTTTGTGAACACGGGGATGAAACTCTCACTCCTCCACCAGGAGCCTTTGCCCTCACACAGTGGCTTCGGAGACCTGCTTCCTGCACATCCTGGCCGCTGCCCTGGCTGAGCGGCCAGATGGTGGGGCCTTCGCCCCAGGGGCGCTGAGGTCAGTGTCACTGGGCCCCTCCGTTTTGTAACAGCCTCCCCTACTAAGTGTTAGGCTGAGCGCATCTACCTCCAGCAACCTTGGCTGCCTCCTCCAGTCCCGCCTAGTGATTAGTCTTGAATGCATATAATGCCTTTCTTTCCACTGCAATTCCTGGAACTCGGAACAAAATCCTCTGTGCTCCCTGGGGGTTGGTAGAATATCCGGAATTAGTGACAGCTGCCTGCTGCCTGCCCTGGACCCCAGGAGTCGCTCTCTGCTACTGAGTCAAACCTCTCTCCCCGGGATGCATGGGCACCAGCCAACCTTGGGCCTGGCAGTGTGTGGCTCCCCAAGTCAACCTGAAACCCCTGAAGCCCCCCCCCCCCCATATAAAACCATAGGGCTCCCGGCACTGTGGAGCCAGATGCCAGCTGAGTCCCTTGGTGGCCGCCTTGGGTCAGCTCCTCTGTGGCCAAACAACCTGGCTCCAGTTTGGCTTTCTGGGTGACGAGCAGTTGGCTGGTTTCATGCTCACAGTTTCATGACGCCCCCACCCTAAGGGGAGAAGAGCTGATTTGCTTAGGTAATGTCAGTGTTGGGGACACAAGGCAGCTCCTTCAGCCAGCAGCTTGTTCGGGCCCAGTGTTAGCTCCTCTCCTGGCCTCACCATCCCCCGCTTCAGTGACTCATTTTGTAATACCACCCACAGACCCCCCTTCTGAGACAAATTCCCGTATCTCTTCCTGCTCCTTCCCCTCATTACACCCACTTCCCGTTGCGGACTCTGGAGTCAGTGTGGCCTCTCGCAGCCTGTCCGTTCAGTGGACATTTCCCTTTGGAAGTGGCTGAGGCTGGCGGCTGCCCCTCACCTGCTGACGTCTAAGTGGACGCACATCGAGTGGCGCTTTGCCCCAGACAGTCCTCCCCAGGGCCCGAGCGGGACGTGCTCTCCTCAGCCGGATCAGCGTGGCCCCGCTGACCTCCCTTAACCACGACAGCTAAGGTTGGTGTTGTTCACTTTTCTCATTGTTTTGCAATGTCCTCTGCGGCGCCCAGGTCAGGGACATGTCATTCCACTGCCCTTTAGCACGAGGCAGGTCTCGACCATGGTCCATGGGCTGAGGGCCCAGGGCTCCCATGGTGCTTCTGCTTTCACTGTTCATTCTGGCATTTTCCAAAGCCCCTCCTTGGTGAGTCATAGTCTTTCCATTTTTTGGGGGGAAAAACATCCCTGTTTTCTGATACCCAATTTCTGGGGTGGGGTTGGACTTCACAAGTGACCACGGTCCTGGCAGCACTGACCACACGGCCGACACCAGCACAAAAATATCCCAGGGCTGCCTGTGCTTCTGACGCTCTGGCTACTATTTCAAAGGCTCCCAGTAACCCTTCAGGATTAAAAATTAATGCAAAGTACTCACACGACTGCGTGGAAGGGCTACGTGTGTGATTAGTCTTTTTTTTTTTTTTAACAGCCAAAGCAAACAAATCAGAATCAGCCAATAGAGGGGCACACGGGGTGGGGTGCCAGGGCCCCACATTCCAGGGTCCACCCTCCTGGCACTCTGAGTGTTCAGGGTCTTGCCATCAGGGAGGGGCAGGAAGTGCACATTCTGGAAAGGGAAACTCAGTTTCAGTAAATCTCTCGTGTGGGGGCTGGGCTGAAGCCTGGTGAGGTCCTGGTCACTTAGAGAGCAAATCCGGGTCCGAGGGGGAGAATGGTAACACGGGGTGTCTGTGAATATTAGCAGGGAGCAGAGCGTGAATCAATGGCCCAGACGGGGGCTGAGCGCTCCTGCCCTCCGGGCGACACCTGGGCGGAGAGGACAGGGTGCTGCCTGGCCGTGGGCTGTCCTCAGACACTGCTCCCGACGGGGCAGGTGCCGGAGGGCCCAGGGAGGGGCCTGGGGGACGAAGGCACTGCCCTCTCATGGTCTCCCCATGAGCAGGAGGAGCCATGGACTCCGCGTGTACCCGGGCGGGTGTGCAGAGCACTGACTGCTGCAGAGCTTGGCACCCCCTTGGCTACCAGGGCTCTCCCGGGGTGCTCGGGCTGAGCCTCTCCCTCCGCCCGGACTCAGCTCTGCCCTGGCCTCCCTGCGAGCAGTCCTTGGTGGAGCGTCCTGACCACCTGCTAGAATGTGGGGACTGTCCCCGAAACCACAAAACGAACACTGGATTCTCAGAGCCTGAACCATGCAGAAGGGGTGAGCCCAGGGGACCCTCTGTGCCTCAGTGCCTGCTGTCTAGCCAGGGACCCCTGTCTGTTCACTGGGAGCAGCATTCCCAGCAGGAGACGAGGGGCCCACGTCAGTGGCAGCGGTGAGGGAGCAGCCTCGTCCTAGGTGCCTGATGACTTTCCACCGAATGGGAGATGCTGGGCAAGGTGCAAGGCGCAGAGTGCTTCACCGGGATGCGCAGCAGGAGACGCAGAGGTTGGATGTGAGGGAGCTTCGAGCTGAGGCAGTGCTCCTCGGCTGGGGACTAACCATCTCTCTCCGCCGGGCAACAGGGCCTGCTGCTCCCTGGGCTGTGCCGTCCCAGGACAGGCACCACACAAGGGTTTTAGCTCTTCCAGTAGCGGGCTGAACAAGGACATAGGTGAAGTCTGGGCTAACGATGAATTGGTCTTCCAAAATATTAGCAGTCATGCATGCAACCAGTTTAAGTACTGCAGGGAAATATTTTCCTTTCCTTCCTCATAATTTGTCCTTGAACTCAGCTGTGTATTTTGCACCGAGGGCGTCTGCATTGGGACTGGCTGCCTCAAGGGCTTACTGCTCGTGGCTGCCAGGGAGCCTTAAGTCTTACATCTTGGGCAGTAAGGAAATGCTTATTTGTTTTATTTGTCAGTCTCTACTATTTTACCATGGTGGGTCAGAAAATACATTCTTTTGAAAGAACACAAACACTTTTAGTCCTGTCGATGATAATGAAACCAGCACTCAGAGAAATCTTGGAAAGAGCTTGTACCAGGACAAAATCTAAGCCAGTGGTGGTGCGTCAAGATCAGCAAAAGTTCATTTATTTGAACCTGTAATTCCTCATCTGCCCATGCATCAAATTTAATCAAATATGTAGCTTAGACAGACATTAGAGAGATTGGCTTGGGCAGTAAAAGGTGCAGAGAAACCCCAGGAGAAAGTGCACAGCCCAGACCCCGCAGGTTACATATCCCCATACTGTCTGGACTG